TAACAAAAATAACAGTATGAAAATGTAACTTGAATGAAGGATGAGAGTTGAAAGTTTCAGACCAAAACTAGATTTCGTCATCTTCCACTATCAGAAAGCTAAAACTCAACAGAGAAGTGTGGAGCAGAAATGGGAATATAAACTGTGTTGTTCAATACCCCCAGCGAAAAATAATGGTTTTGAAGCCCTAAAACAACTTAAATATCTCTAGGAAAAATAACAGGCTGCATTTATGACGGCGTTCTTACCGCTTTTTAAAGCAACTTTTTAGTGCAAAAATTTCTAATTCTAAAGATTTTTTTACTAGAAAGCTGCTTTAAAAAGCAGTAAGAAAATTATCCCAAACGAAGTCTTAGAGGAGACTTGGACCCTAATTGTCTTGACAAAAGCTAACATTTGTGCAAAACATAGTTATAACCTGAGTTTCACACAAGGCCTACAGCTCGAAATCAAACAGCTTCATACCAAGTAGAGTTGCTTAATGATAAACTTAAAAGCTTCTGTTGAATAAAGCAGACAGTCCTGGAGAAAAATAAACATTCTATTCTTAGGGGTGTCAATATCTGACGACCTGAAAACTCGACTCGAACCCAACCCGAAAATTCCGGGTTTTATGGTCAACCCGTTTTTGAAACAAGTCGGGTTCGGGTTCAACAAACAGACACGTTCAAAAATCAGGTCGGGTTCGGGTTGACCCGGAAATCCATAAAAGGGTCTTCCCACGTCGAGTACCCACGTTGTCCGACGACACATCGAGTCGCATCTCTTCACGTGAGTCACCCCGCCAGTGCCGCGCCGACACATCTTCACGTGACATGAAGTAGGGTTTTGAATGGGTTGTTAAAAGCTTATTCGCCTCCTTCGACGACATTCCTTCATGTCGAATCGGAAGTCCCGACAATTCGCCGTTCATCAAAACTGGAAGTAGCGACGAGAGCTCACTATCTTCCTCCCTTTAGCGACAATTCGCTGTAAATCCGTGTCGGGTCAATCCATAAACCCGACAGGACGGATCCGGGTTGAACAAACCAACCTGTTTGCAAAAATGGGTTAGGTTCAAGTCAACCCAAACAGGGTCGAATCAGTTCCGGGTTCGACCGAACCCGACCCACAACCCGAAATTGGCACCCCTATCTATTCTTATCTATATTCATGGAGGCTGACAGTCCATTTAATCTTGGTAGGTGCACTGGCCTGTCACAGATTAATCACTCGGTAAGGATCAAAGGGATAGTAAACTGCAATTTCTTGGCTGATTTGATAGAAAATACTTACGGGTTGCCTACTGATTCTATGGAATAAAAATATAAAATTAGTAGGGGAAAAAAAGATGTATTATTTAAATTTCCTTTCATATTAGGAAATACAGTATTCCTTCCTTGTTAAACCTCTATATATTGGGTCAAGTTTCAGCCGAACAGAAGCAGAGTACTCTATTCTGCGTGTTTGTTTTTTCAGGAAAACACCAATTTCAATGGTAGTTGGGGGAAGAAGCCGATTTCCTATTATCAGCCGCATATTAGATCAGCTTTTTCTAGTGCTACCATTGATTAGACGTCGGATATCAGTTTCTAATAATATTACTCTATCTTCTCAGTCGCCTACCTCTATTCCTGTTCAGTTCGGAATTCGTTGATTTGTGTTCTAAGACATCTCATATATAGTATATCTTCCACTTCCTTTTTCTTATGTTGTATCGGAGGCATGTTCTGTTTAAGTGGATTTATTATTTTGTGCGGAGTCCGGATGTGTCCGGAGACCAATAAAAATGCGCCAAGTCACCCCAAAATGTACCGCGCTCGGTACCGATCGTAACCGGACGGTTCTCCGGTTCGGTGCCCGCACAGAATAATTTCTCCTTTAAGTGAGGGTCAACACTTACATGGATGGCCCTAACTAGATCTAGCATAGAAGAGAAGATAAATTCTCCCTTCACCCACACCATCCGAGAGTCCATGGAGCCGGTTACCTCTTAAAATTACTTGATAGAAACTAAATGGGAAGAACTATTTACAATGGTCTCTTTATGTCCAAATGTGATAAAAGAGCAATGATATGATACCTAAAAAATGATCAAACCTTCCTTTCCAACATGACATACAAAAAATGTTCTAGTAATTTCTAGAATAATTAATTCTAAGGAAGAACACATTAGATCACATTCGAAGGCCAACATGAAGTGTTTGATTATAAAATTCTCCCTAAACCCTAAATATGTAGAAAGAGAGATAATGTTTGCTGTGACATATGGAAAAAGATAAATCACACAAGACAAAATGTTGAAAACTTCAAGGAAATCAAACATATCAGATCAATACTGAAAATCAAAGAAAAAAACACCCACTCTTATCAAACTAGAAGTGAAGGGTTAAAAATGAGAAATGAGGGAAACTTTGGTAACCTTTTCTTAAATAAAGAACAATTGGACCTCCTATATAAATTGCTCACAAAGATTATATATTTACCATAATAATTTTATATGTTCATATCATTGTTATAGGAGATCATGATTTGAAAACTAGCAAATAAGAATCTACCTAACCCAGGTATTTTCTCGAAATGAAAATCTTTAGGAAAAAATCTGAACTCGACACTCCAATATATCCTAACAATAAATTGAGTAATGGTAGCACCAATCCTCCAGTTTTTAAAAGGAAGATATCAAAAGTTGGTAAGAAAACTCATTTAATTCATTAATACCAGACTTGACATAGCATTTATTGTCAATATAGTAAGTTTATGTAAGCCCCTCACAAATAACACATGAATGCCATTACTAGGACACTTAAATACACAAAATTAAGGATGTCCCGAGGACTTTCTATAGGAAAGGAGAATCTAAAATTATATAAGCATATACTAATGCTGATTTGGTTAGGTCTCTACTTTTATGTAATACAGCTTCCATTCCTAGGAAAGAAGCATTCTTTTCTTACTTGGAATTATGTGGGTCGGTGGTTCTTCATTATCCTTGACTTGTGAGCTGGTGTGTCCTTCTAATGGTGGAAATACTTGATAGTTGAAATTGCAGTCTCCCTAGATGGAATTTTTATTATGTGCGGAGTCGGGACGTCGTCCAGAGACCAACAAAAATACGCCACATCACGTCAAAAGTGTACCGCGCTCGGTATCGAGCGTGGTACCGACACTCGGTACCAAGCGGTAGCGGATGGTTCTCCCATCCGGTGTCCGCACAGAATAATCTCTCCCCTAGATGGCACGACATGTGTGATATTTTCTAGACAAAAGCATAACACAAACCTAATAAGGGGTGTCAAAATTTGACCCGACCCGAAACCGAACTGGAAAATTCCGGGTTCGGATCAACCCATTTGCTATACAGGTCGGGTTCAGGTTTGAGTTTTCGACCCGTTTGTAAAACAGGGTCAGTTTCGAGTTGACCCGACAACTCGAAACCAACCTGTTCTAACCTGTCTAAACCAAACTAATTATCCATTAGAGTTAATTAAATCATCTAATATTAAAAATTGATGATGAGGGTTTGCTACTTTGCTATCACTCGGGCCATGTCAGTCAAATCAAATGTCAATCATCATGTCAGGGTCTTGTCAGTAATCACACTGAGCCTTTAATTTGAGGTCAGGCCAGCCATTTGCTGCGTAGGACCAAATGCAAGCCCCTCCCGCTCCCGGCTCCCGCAGACGGTAGACCGCAATCTGCTCTTCGCCGCCTTGCTCGCCTCCTCTTGTCGCCGGGAGCTCGTCTGCCTCCGTCTCTCGCCACATCCGGACGTCGAGACGTACACACGACGTCGCAGCTCACGGCTCAACCGATCAGGCCTGTTTTTAATCCAAACGGATCCGCGTGTTAGGTCGGGTCAACCCGGTAGCCCGCGCAGGTTGAATCCGAGTTGAAATATCTAACCAGTTTGCTAATAAAATGGGTCGGGTTCGGGTTGACCCGTTTAGATCCGCTCAACTCGGGTTCGACCCAAACTAACACCACTAACCTTGGTGGTTGGATACTTGGATTGTAACTGTGAATTGCTCACTTGGCAAACATCAAAGGCCTAGATGGCAAGACAACCATGGTATTTTCCCTTAAATGCAATCTCCCTAGATAGCAAGACAGGTGTGTTATTTTCTAGACAGCAGTAGGACGCATCCCTGATGGCTAGATCCTTGGATTGTAGCCATGAATTGTTTACTTGGCAAACATCAAAGACCCAGTGGGCTACAATTTATTGGTTGCTTTGATAGACAACAACTATGCGCAATCTATTGAATCTATCAAATAAATTTAGCAGGTTTTAAAAGTAAAAACTGTTGCATAATTTGTATATTATTTACTATTAGGAAATGCATTATTTCTTCTTTGTTTGACCGTAATAGATCTCTATATATTGGGACAAATTTTGGCTAAATAGAAGTATAGTGTATCCCTCTACTTATTTCTTCCTTCTTCACTGAAGAAACTGAATAATAATTATTTAGTTGAACTCAAGACTATACTATCATACTAAAATACTGCTGTTGATTAATTGAATGCATTCACAGCAGATAAGAATACCAACACAATGATACTATCAAGCAACTCAAAAACACTGTAGGTGCTCCTTTTTATGACAATAAAGACGAGTAACAATGGACATATCCCTCAAATGGAGATATATTAAAGGTCACCTTCTGTTGGAAAGATGTACCTTCACTAATGAGGCTACCAGAGCTCTAAATGCAGCAATATCTCTGTGGTTAATCAGAGAGTCTGATTCTAGCATTGAAACCCATGGCATTACAGAAAGATGGCATAACCACCTGAAGGCATTTTCAATGAACAAATCATAAATTGTGAAGACTGTTCTGGAGAGAATCCTGAATTGGTGAAAAATAGGAGGAATTTACAGCCATAACAGCAGCAGCTTTTATCAAATAGTTATCAACCATGACAAGCAAAGCTAAGAAAAAAGACACAACGGCAACCTAAACAACAATAAATTATTCTAAAAAGAAATGCATAGAAATAGATCAACACAGACCAAAGTGATAAAATTCTTCATAGCATACAAATTCACTAAGAATTGCAATTTCAAATAACATTCAAAACCACAAGCCATAAGCACCTAAAATGGCTCGAAATGTAAAAACAGCCAAAGATAAATTAACTCCGGTACATATATCTTCTTCCCATGTGGGAAAGGCAAATATTACCCAAGCTAAGTTCCGCAGCTTATCATAACCTTAAAGAGTATACATTGTAAAAGTGCTAAATCAGTCAAAATCTAATTCTTTCCGACTTTTGATGACCGCTTTTTTCCTCATATCAAATTCAACCTTGTCAAGATCCATGCTAGTTGCCAGATACCCATAAAAGATCCTACTCTTCTCACCAGTCTTCTTGTCCACCTTAACTAAGTCTGGGTTTTTTTCTTCATTATTGCCAGACTGAGAAGCTTGCACACGAGCCCAACCTCTACGTCCACGGTTGTCTTTCTCAAAAAATTCTGCCAAGTTCTCAGCCTCTTTTAGACCAACTTCAGTATTTGAAAACTTAACTGCCGTAAACCCCAAATGGCCTTCCTTCCCATATACAGACTTTGCCTTACCGCCACCAAAGCCAAGTTCTGGAAGGGAGAGTAGGGGAGAAAACATGACTAATATAAAAAGAAGCTGTAATTTTATATGCATGTGCTGCCCTAAAGCTATGTGCTTTGTACTACTGAACTACTATAATATTCTATTCTTCTTGAACAATCGTGAAAGTGGTGTGCCATCTGTGAAATAGGCATGTAATTATGAACTTCCCACGAAAATAAAGGAAATAATGGCTGAACTAGGGCAGTCGCCTCATCTGTTCAGATCTAAGAGGCATGATCTATCATATAAGAATTTGAAACAATTACCTACAGAATTAAGGATAAGTCTTACCATGTGCAATACATTCACCCAAGGCTACGGGAACTGCATGCAGTACTTTCTAACAACTATATTAAACCTCCAAAAAATAGTACTTAGCAAGTGTTGATCAAAAGAAAATCGGATGGTTCATATCATATAACAAAGGTGGAGCACAGCTTCCGTTTTCTTTTATTGTAAACCTAATAACTATGAATGATAAGAAATGTTGTAGAGGAGTCTGCAATTTATGAAATACACGGAAAAGGAACAAAAATGGTTGGAATAAAAACTGACATGACAAGAACCTCAAGTAAAAGCACAGACTTAAATGTGAAGCAACAATGATGATGTCATTACCCAATTTGTTCCATAATTCATGAATACAAAATATGAGAAACTAATACATGAATTAAGTGTAAGGATTCCCATGTGCATATGAGCAGTAATGTCCAAAGAAACATGTAAGACAATATTGAACCAGTGAATTCAGAAGAAAAGAAAGCACAGTTCAGTGGGATCTTTATAATGGAGTAAACATCTGTTAAATGACGTCAAATGATGGACACAATATGAAGATATGTAAAACAATTTAATATAAGGAGAAGAAAATTTAATGCTATGGTTCAAGTAACCAGCATTCTCATTGGAAAAGTGAGAAAGGCAAGAACACCATAAAGGCTTTCCTCTTGCAGAATGACCTATTGTGAAGGTTTCAATAACAATGGGCGTATTACAATTTCACAAGAACATTCATACAACTCAAAGTAAAGAAATAGATGTAGAATGTCGTGAGCATTTAGGAGTTGAATATATTAAGGAAACAATGGGCAAAGGCACGATGGCTGATCTTATAGTGAGCTCGAGTTAAAACTGATAAAATTTTTGAAGTTGCTTAGTGATATGAAATGCATTATCATGAGGCTCAAAATTTGACTGGCAAGAGTATCGAGAAAGATACAAACCAACATTTCTCAAAAAGTATGATCAAAATGGAAAAGAGAAAAGATTTGCCAACAACAATTGGCAATCCTAATCAGAAAATATAAATGGTTGCAAAAGGTTCTAAAAGATGAATATCATTCAAGATGCATTAAGAAATTTCTAACATCTGAAGGGCAAAAGAAGATCAACGACAAAAAATCAAGCAAAATCAAGGAATCAGAATCAACATTGACAATAGGATTAGACAACAACTTCTGTCAGATCAATGGATCATGATCTAAATAAGTGTACACACTAACCATTAGTCCTAGACATGTAGAGCGAGGGAATAAACTAGCCAACCTTAATGCTTATAACATGAAACAGACGGACTAAGCCAAAATACTAAGGCCAAGTAATATTTACCTGCATTAAATAGATGCATATCCATACATTCAAATGCATCTGAAAAAAATGAATAAGTACTAATTAAGTTATACCTTTTAGTTTGACATCCATCTCTTTGTTACCCAAACCCTCCGTACGACGATCCTTCTTCTTTCCTGTGCTTGTATTATGTATTATAACTGTTGGTGGCCATAAAATAAGATCTTCCCTATTTGCTCTTGCTTCATCAGCAGTTAAAGATTGATACTCTTTGGAGATATCAGGTACCTTTGCATGGTTCCAGCCCAACATAACGCACAAAGCTTTGTGTAACCCAAGATGCTCAATTCGCAAATCAGAATTTTGAGAATGGTATGCATGCATGACAAGTCCATGAACATCTGTAAAATCTTTACTACCCCTGTAATGAGCAAACCAAGTGCACTGAATAACAGGGTAATCAAAGTTTCCAAGTAAAAGAAGGGGAGAATCTTAAAACCACCAAAGGAATAACTGCCCTACTCTAGCAATATTTAGTGCAAAACCTATCAGATAAAAGCTTCCTAAGAAGTTTTTTTTTTTTTTTGATCAAAATGCATATCGCATTAGAAACTAGAAAAGAACAAATACAAACTACTCATGTGATAGAATCCTATCACAATCCTCCTTTAACAAATCAAAGAATAAAGGAGGAACCTTATTGCAATCTAACACATCCCAAAAAAAATCACCTTCTAATGCATGGTTAGCACAAAAATTAGCCAACTCATTACAATTCCTAAGAAGTTATTGCAAGAGTCTAATTAGCCTGCTTTCCTACGACCAAAAAATAGCTTGTACAAGCCCCCCTTCAACTATTAGCAGGCTAAACCTTATGAGAGGGACTTGAGAGGCAAAAAAATTTCAACTAAGGTATATATGATAAAGAACCCTAAACACACTGTCCCAAAAAAGAATTTTTTATATATGGTGATTTATACTAACAATTCTAAATTCACTCAACGTCAGCTGTCTCAAAGATGCTTTATATTTTATTAAGTTTGTAGATTGAATATGTTGAACGCTTGGCCTTAGTGGATTATATTGCATGCCAGTAAAACGACCAGCAATAATCAAATTGTTGGCCTCAAGGCGAAGCATTCAATCACTAATGCAGTCAATTGATTGTGGCCTAGCATTATAGCAGGTAATTCCCATAAAGCTGACAATTAAAATATCTATTAAAAACCAGCATGGCACCAACCACCACTGGACAAAATACAGAAACAATCAATTGTAGCTTCATAATCAACACATTTTTCATCATTGAAATTATCGTAGTTTGGCTTTAATAATGCTTCTTTAGCATTCAAACATGTTGAGCGTCAAATTTGGTGAAAATCCTACTTCAACCAGTACGTCATAAGTTTAGACAACTCACCACTTCACTATAAATTAAAGCTAAATGTCTCTTGCCTTTGAAGATCTATATTACATGATAAGTTTTAACTCACCCTGGTTCAATCATAGCTCGTGATAGCAAGTAAAGTTCTATGAAGCATGGAGACCAAATCATAGCTAGCTAACTAGAACAATCTTAGTGGCAAGTTCATAGATAGATTGATAGAAAAGATGAGAGAGAAAGAGACGGGTTGATGCATATACACATATTTACATAAATGTAAGTATCTATATTTATGAGAGACTATATATATATATATATATATATATATATAAGAGAGAATATATATATATATATATATATATATATATATATATATATATGAGAGCATGCTTTCAGTATGTACAAAAAATACGGTTGAATAAGCATCTGCCTATAATTATGCGGTGTATATATAACATAATTACATTATAGAGACAAATGCATCCCACCATTCATGCTAATGTCCTTGCATGGACACGGGAAATATGATGATTAAATTATATATGTCTGTCCCGCTATGATGCAAAAAAAAAAATGATGTGATGCACAAAGAGAACCAATTTTAAGTCGAAATAAATGGCTTGTTCGAACTCAATTCAATACTACCCATCACTTTGATGTTTTTGTTTGTCACTGTTCTAGCTCTACCTGGCATTAATTTCTTAGCTTGTTTTGTTCTTTAAGTATAACACTAATGCTCTGTTTTGCTATTTATATTCTCAACTGCTTGCATTATGTTGGTTATTATGTTGAGCTTGTTAAATTCTTGGCTCGATGTTAATGGTTTAAGTCATGCACTCAATGGCCAATTTTGCAAGCTCGTTGACTCCATGCTTGATTGCTCAAGGCAAAAGATAAAAGTTATCATGAAGAAGCTCGCGCCAAAAATTTAGCTCCATTTAAATTCATTACCTCAACGTATTTAATTAGAGATTTGATATTGCAATTTATATGTAATCAAAGCAACCATAAAAAAGATTGAAAAATATGATGAGGAATTTAGTTTATTTTTGGATTTTTGCCTCTCCATTTTTCCTAAAACAACAACAACAAGCCTTTATCCCACTATGTGGGGTCGGCTACATGAATATTTTTTTCTCCATTGTGTCCTGTTAAGAGTCAAATTCTCATCTAAACTAATAAAGAAATATCATTTCTAATATTTTCTAACCAAGTCTTTTTAGGTCTACCTCTATCTTTCTAAACATAAGTCAAATCTAATACATCTACTTTCCTAACCAAGTCATCAGAAGGCCGCCGTTTTATGTGACCAAACCATCTAAGGCAACTCTCTCTAATCTTATCTTCCACTATAGCTACTCCAACCATTTCCCGTATATGCTCATTTTGTATCATCTCTAAGAGTAAAACCACCCATCCACCTGAGCATCCTCATCTCTGCAACACTTAACTTAATATTATACTTCTCTTTTAATGGCCAACTTTTTGCACCATAAAGCATTGTAGGTCTCACTACCATCTTATAGAATTTTCCCATAAGTTTGAGAGGGACTTTTCTATCACCATTTTTCCTTATTAGTTAAAATTACTTTTAATCTATATATGATTACCCAATATTTGGTGAATTATTGATTTTTTATAATTATTATAAGAATATCTTTTATTTTGATTGTGTGGCAATTAGTATGCCCATTAATTTCTAGACTGACAATATTTTCTTGGTATGTGCTTTATTATTATTCATGAGATTACTTAATCATGAAGGAGATTCAACTTGAATATTTGTTCAAATACATGTTTCAAATATTTGTATAGGTTCTAAGAAGTATGCATCAAACTTCTTTTTAATTAAATGTTTAAATTGCTTGCTATTTCCATAAAGATATAGAATGCTCCTCGTATTTCATTTTAACCTACCATGATTTAAATTTTTACTAATGAAATACTGTCATGAAGGTTGCAAATATTTCAATATCATATAAAGTTTATCCAAATTCTGGCGTGCAATGCAATCAGTTGTTACATGTGCCATTTGAAGAGCACTATGATTGGGCTTTGCGCTTAAGTATAGAAAACCCGTAGCTCTTGATTGTTGACAGCAGCACCAAGGCCTTAATCACATAACAATAAACAGTAATAACCTTATAATAGCAATAATACTATGAATGTACCATGCATCTAGACTAGTAATCCATCCAGTAATTTTGAAATTTTAAAAGTAAAAAGGGCCAATTGTATATCCAATATTTTATTTGGTAACGTAATTGATGGGCGAAGAATAAATGTTTTATATGTAAATAGTTTCTTATAACTACAAGCAAGCATGAGGGTGTATGAATTTAATAGAATATTGTTGAAGCCTTCAACATGGCCCAAAACCACATAACCAATCAAGACAACCAACTAAAACAGGGTTCCATTTTTACACCATATAATGTGGTTAAGCATTCAAGCTCGGTAGCCTAGCCACACTTTCTACATTTCATTGATAGGCACGTGCAGGCCTTAACTCAACAAATCTAAGTCAAGAAGAACCAGTACAAAACTAGTTCTTCAACTCCCAAGTTTCACAGGGAGTAATATGCTCCACAAAATGCACGCCTCAATAACTAAAAATCTACTTGATTGAGAAAACAAGATATGATGAAGCTCCAAAGAAGCAACCTCACCGATTAAACTCCTACCTCCACAGGATAGTAAGACTATAAGATGCTCCATACAAAAGCAGATAAATGCTTCAGGGGGAAGATCTTGAGCAAAGAATACCATACAAAAGAAAGACCAAAAACAAACCCATCACATGACAAACTATGACTAAATGTTTATTTGGTCTTTCCAGTTCATATAGTATTCTTTGCTCAAAAACTATTGAGTGAAATTGTAACGAAATAACCGTTCCAAACCTGACTAGCTCAAATCCAATCATCAACTTGATCTCAACTCCATAAAACTTTGTAGAATTACACAGTAAACAATTAGGAGGTTTATTGGCAATTCCTAAAGCATCAATGAAACAAGTTCTTGGAAATTAACTAAAAGACAAAACAGACATAATAACCAAGGACAATGAAAAAATCACAACAATTTATAGAAGAAACTCAATACAAACTAAATATATTAACAGAAAGTCATGCAAAGAGTACAAACATGCAATGGATAATGAACCAATGTTGGAATTAAATAATAGCGAAAAATCATAGGCAATTAAAGAAATAAAAAAATTGACAAGTTGAATAGAAAAAATCATCATTAAAAATGCCTGGTAAAAACCTACATGAATAAAGGTTAGCAACTAACATACATTCAGAAGTAAGAAATAGCAGGATCAGCTAAAGGTAGGAAAATCTGGAAATTTAAACTGTTCATGAAATCTCCACAAAATAAAGTCAACACTAATTCCACAAACATACCCCAATAAAGAAAAAAAATTATGGTCCTATTAAAGTTATTTCTTATTTGTAAAAAAGTAGAAAATAACATGAAAAAAGTGAGAAACATGAGAAAGAATATGGATGAAGACCAATCTCAGATTACAACAACAACATCAAGCCTTTATCCCACTACGTAGGTTCGGCTACATGAATCCTTTTACTCCATTGTGTCTTGTTAAGAGTCAACTTCTCAATTAAATCTAATAAAGAAATGTCATTTCTGATAGACCAATCTCAAGACTGAACACAAAAAAATAAGAGAAGCAGCTGCCTACAAAGACTAAAAGACTAGCTAATAGACTTGGTAACATTCTAATCCCGAGCCAATTCAACCCCACACGATTGGCTCAAAGTCATTTAATTCAATCTTGAGCTCAAGCAAATCTGAATTAGGTTGATTTGATTGAGTCATAATTTGAGCACAACCTAGCATCTTGGCTTCTTAACTTAGACTGGAGTTCTATTCAGGCCAAAATACATAAAATCTTGATTAATTTTCAATATTCTCAGATAAATTCTTCAATAAACTTTATATATGTGCACAAGCAGCCATAATTATAGATATATACTTTTATGATCCAATCTAGAGCTAGCTCAATTTGATCC